TGATGATGATGATGATGATGATGATGATGATGATGATGATGATGATGACAATTGGCTCGAGGACGACATGCGCACAAGACGAGCGCCTAGCCAACTACGACACTACAAACTCCCTCGAGATGCTAGTCCACCTGAGCCCGAAGATAAATTTCCTTCTCATGGTAAGTCCTTTATGGAATTATTTTCTCGGTTTCGTCTCCCCCCCCCAGCCCGGACAAACGCAACATTTTTTTTCTACCAACCCGCATGTTGGTAGCCTGTACCTATTACGCATTTATCTGGCTGTGGCTAACAGGCATCGGCCCCACTATTCATATCAACTCTCGGTCTTAAGACTGATCAGAAGACACTACTGGAATTTTCGTTTTCTCCATCCTCCCCTCTACAGCATGGTTTTTTAATACTCGTACACAATTTTTAAGCGATTCGATAGTAATATAAGTGTCTAAGTCCGAAGAGAATTTATCGAAGGCTGGCCTATTTTCATCAAGTTGTCTTTTGAATCTTTAGCCGTAACGAAGCTGTGCTTATACAGGAGCTTTCATAAAAATATGGAGATGCGTTTTAGTGGTGGCCTCCATATGTGTTCAAGCGAGGACCTGTTTTTGGTGAAAATGTTAAATCGTACAACGATGGGTGCCTTAAAAGCAAGTAGCCAGCATTGAGTCATGATGACCCATGAAGCAGAAAATCCACATGACTGCCAAGGAGCAATTCAGGTCTCAACGTCTAGACGTCGGGCGACTTAAACATCTAAATATAGTTCAGTGCAGAGAAGACAGTTGTAATGTTGCCAAAAGCCAAGAGTTCTGCCACTCACAGATGCTTTGTTTCAATGCCTCTAGGAAAACGAGAATACAAGGGCACAAGAAAAGGGAGTTTTATTGCGTACCTAGCGCGGATATTTAGGCAAGCAATCGTTAAAAGATCTGTGGCGGTGGGCCATTATTCCCCTCCCCCCTTCGTTCTGCAATGTCCGCGTCCCCAAACGTGATTTGTCTTTGCACGCGGGTATTCCACTTGGTGACCTGAAGACCACTTGACCGACTTCCACTCGCAGACATACGTGCGCACACATGCACGCAGACGCGGCACCCTAAGGACCACTTCACACACCATCCCCTTGGCCAACGCAGCAGGGGGCCTTTGCAGGTAACATCCGCTTGGGCAATTGCAACACACCAATAGCAGACCACTTGAACTCGCTTCACAGTCATGTAACAGCAACTGTCATCCCCCCACACAGCACACAGTCAACTATGTCAGGCCTGACTGAACGCAGTCAGGACCAGCCCTGGCTGGCCGCTGTCACCTGAGACTGCAACTGG